CATTGGTGTGCGTGTGTGTGTGGTTGCCTGTGTACAAAACCCTGTTGCCAAAGATTACCGTCCCCTCCCAGCGTCTTCAAGACTGTAATGCTGCGGTTGCCTCTCTTCCCGGTGAGCTTCGTATCCCGGCGTGCAACGCTTTCTAGTCACTATAACTATCTTTTTTTGCCTTTTTCGGAAAAACCCGCGCTATACTCATTTGTACAAACAACCACTCACACTCACCCCACACACACACTCAGAGACACTCAATCACAGCCAATGGTTCGGCTGTCGCAAGCGCAGGCGACACGAGTTGCGGCGACGGGTTGGACAACCACAAGGGCACTAGAAAGTGCATCTGACAAACACTGACGTCACTGTTTCCTTTTTTTATTTCCATCTTTATTTTCTATCCTGATATTCCCCCCAAAAGACATTACTTGTGACTTTCATGCTTTTACCCCCTTCTCCACCCGCATTTCCCCCGTTCACCCTCGTATGCTCCATTTCCTTTCTGGCTCATGTGCTGAGATAACAGACTGACAGCCTTGCTTGCATATGTGTAGCTGTTCTTGATGTTTTTTTGCAGTTATCTCGAGCTCTCTAGACGGCTACCATCCCAGGCGTGGTGTTGTTTCGTGTTTGGACTACCTAGTGGGTTTGATCGATTTGGTGCATATCAGGAAGTCTAAGTAGTCTGGCCTGGTAGTCGAATTGGCTTTACCTCGACTAGCCAACGCCGGATTTATGGAGGATGACCGATAATTTGGATTGTATGTGTAGAGTAATCGTGGGACCGTTCTGTATCCTTGAAAGTAGGGGGCAGCACCCTTTTCGGTGTGGAGTTCTACTGCCCACAATGCTTATCAATTGTGCCTCACAACTTCTCTGTGTGTTGGTTCGTAGGGCGCTTGCGGGGACCAAACTGGCAGTTCCATCCTATAGACTGGAAAGCAAAAGCCAAGGCCTGTTTGCAGCATTTGCCACTTCTTAGGCGGGATTGTCTTAAGTAGGTGAAGAATTAAACCAAACAAGTCTTCCATCTTTCTCATACAATTGTAATCTTGAAGCCTCAATAAAGAATTACGCCTATTTTGTCCTGTTTTGTTTGCCTGAACGTTGACCCTTGTCTTCCGCTTGTGCAAACCCCAATAAATTTCGAACAGT